AAAAAAAAAAAAAAAAAATTGTTTTTCAATCCCCTGTTCTAAGCAGAGAAAGCCCACTTTGAGGGTTAAAAGGGAAGAGCAGCACACTGGTCAGCTGAAGCCAAATCCACTTTTGCTACTGAGACCACTTAGGAGTCCCAATTTCAGGATTTCTGGGTGGAACTCCTCCGACCTTGGCAAAGCTGCCCTTGGTGTTCATTAGTATGAGAAAGTGTTTAAAGCTTCAGCCTAAGGTTATGAATGGTGAGTGGGCCTGATACCCAAGACACAGAGACAGTCTATTTTGGTCAGAGTTAGGTCACAGCCTAAAATGAAAACTGCTGTATAACTTGTGCTAAATACCAGCTGAATGCTTTGAGGCCGGGCGTGGTGGCGGCGCCTGTAATCCCAGCTACTCGGGAGGTTGAGGCAGGAGAATTGCTTGAGCCTGGGAGGCAGAGGTTACAGTGAGCCAAGGTGGCGCCATTGCACTCCAGCCTGGGCAGCAATCGCGAAACTCTGTCTCAGAAAAACAAAAAGCTTTGAGATTTGCCTGTGTCCGGATCCCGGAGCCTGTGCTCTCTTTATGACTGTTTTCTCACACTCTGCTTTGCAGTGTGTTTGTGACAGTGTCTTAACTGTTCTAGAGGGTAAGATCCTTGATGACAGAAGGATCTGCAGGCCAGGCGTGGGATCTTCTGTTCCTCACAGTGTGTGAGGCCCTCAGTTTGCATTTGCTTCGCTGAGTCAGTGAACTAACTCTGCCTGCTCTCACCCCCGGGCTTAGGTTTGCAGTACCCGAAGCGCTGAGCACCATACGGAAGGCCGAGGAGGTTCTGTCGCTGCACTGTGGCCCGTGGGACGATGAGATCCAGGAGCTCCAGAAGATGAAATCCTGTTTACTGGACTTAACACCCTCCCTGTAGGGCCTTCAGTGTAGGGTCCCAGGAGGATTTTGACCACAGAAAAGGAGCCCATGGAGCACAAGTTAAAGAGGCTCTGCTGGCCGGGCGCGGGTTCTGCGGGCCGGTTATGAGGGGTGAGGCGGACTCAAAGTGCAGTGAGAGAGACACCTGTTTTGGTGACTGTTTCTTGAAATGGTTAACTGCCCTCCAGTAAAAGCTCCCAGTCCCCAGGAAAGACTTAAAGCCAGTGTCTGGAGATTCCAAGTCCTTGAGAAGGGTTTTAGCTGCTCTGCAGGGTCTGGATGCCGGCCGGGGTCTTGGCTGGATTCCACCTCACTAAACGCTGATGCTGTGTTTCCCTGGAACATTCCTATGGTTTTCGTGGTAATGAAATGCAGTGCGCCACTCCAGCGGGAACCTCAACTCTTAGCAGTTCTGTTGTAATTGAAAAATAATTAGAAAACAGGAAATCAGTAAGGCTGCTTGCCTCCAGAGACACAGCGCTCCACTTACGCTATCTGGCTCCTGAAATCCTCTTACAATCGCTGGAGTATAAATTGTGACCAGGGAGGTAACTCTGGAGCCATCTTATTGAGCAGTTTCCTCCAGGAATGATAGCTCTAGGTTTGTTTTCTGCCGGTTTCCAGTGCTTATTCTCTGCCCTTCGTTCTATACTCAAACTTACAGGAAAGACTTTGTAACACACATGCCTCCTTTCTGAGTTCTGTTTGTTAGCAAGCCTGAATAGAGACTCCTTTTCCTACCAGACCTCTCCAAGCTGGCGAGTAGAATACAGACAGTATGAGAAATGGGAGCTGCAGGGGTTTCCGGAAATGCTGAGGTCATGGATGGTGCTGTTTGTGGTTGAGACTTAAGAGACATTCGAGACCAGCCTGGCCAATATGGTGAGACCCCGTTTCTACTAAAAACACAAAAATTGGTGGTTGGCGCCTGCATTCCCAACTACTTGGGGACCTGAGGCAGGAGAATCGCTTGAACCTGGGAGGCAGAGGTTGCAGTGAGCCAAGATCGCGCCATTGCACTGCAGCCTGGCAACAGAGCGAGACTCCATCTCAGGAAAAAAAAACAAAAAACACGAGACAGAAGGTAGGGATGATGGCTCTCCTCCACCAGGATGTGTAGCAATAGCCCAGACTGACCACTGGTGACCAAGTAGTTGAGGTGCATTAGTGGGAAAGAATGCCAGCTCCATGCTGCTTTTGAGAGCTTCCAGCCTGTCCAGGCCCAAGAAGTACCCATCAGTTGCCACTGCGCTGTGATCAGGAGGTCAGTAGCCCCGCAGACACCTGCCAGTAGGGTTTGGGACCCTGTTTGAAATACGGTTAGCACTCAAACCTGTGTTGAGTGAGGGGCAGGCAGAATACCATTTCTCCCCACCTGGCAACCCCTTGACAAGGGAGCGGCCAGTGGTTTTTTGATAGCTAACTTTTTCAAGAAAAAAGTGTCATCCTGCAGACAGTTCGGTAGCCCCTCTGCTTCAAACGCTGGGCACGCTTCATGCTGCTAGAAAGCCCCGCTGTCCTTTATAAAAGAGGGAGGCCTCCTTACAAAGAACAGGGTTAGAATCTTGACTTCTCAGGTCCATTTTCTGTGTCCTTGGAAGCTTTCTTTAAATGATTTGTAAAATAATGATCTCCTTAAGTTACAGATGGCCTCTCATCTGCCCATGTGTGGTTTCTAGCATGCTTCACTGATTATGGGAGCAGGAAATGGCCTCCCAGGAGGATTACTGGTCCTAGTACAGAAACACCCCAGAGCAAAGAAGCGGTCCCTGCTTTATCCAACACAGATAACTAAAAGTTTTTTGTTTTGTTTTGTTTTTTTTTGTTTTGAGATGGAGTCTTACTCTGTCACCCAGGCTGGAGTGCAGTAGCACGATCTCGGCTCACTGCAACCTCTGCCTCCAGGGTTTAAGCAATTCTTCTGCCTCAGCCTCCCGAGTAGCTGGGACTACAGGTGAGTGCCACCGTACCCAGCTAATTTTTTTTTTTTTTTTGTAGAGATGGGGTTTCACCGTGTTAGCCAGAATGATTTTGATCTGACCTCAGATGATCCGCCCACCTCCACCTCCCAAAGTGTTGGGATTACAGGCATGAGGCACCGCCCCCGGCCTAAAAGTTCTTATAAATGGTGACTTTCTACAAAGTTTAGATAAAACCAAGCTAAAAGCACAGGACCAACAAGTTCCCAAAGAGCAATTTCTCTTCATATTAAATGTAGCATAGCTCGGCCGGGCGCGGTGGCTCACGCCTGTAATCCCAGCACTTTGGGAGGCCGTGGCGGCTGGATCACGAGGTCAAGAGATCGAGACCATCCTGGTCAACGTGGTGAAACCCCGTCTCTACTAAAAATACAAAAAATTAGCTGGGCATGGTGGCGCGTGTCTGTAATCCCAGCTACTCAGGAGGCTGAGGCAGGAGAATTGCCTGAACCCAGGAGGCGGAGGTTGCGGTGAGCCGAGATGGCGCCATTGCACTCCAGCCTGGGCAACAAGAGCGAAACTCCGTCTCAAAAAAAAAAAAAAAAATATATATATATATAGCATAGCTCAAAGTGGGGGGAGGAGGAAGGAAGTACCAGGAGTGAAGGATTGAGCTCTTTTATTGTATGCACTGAAAGGTAACAGGGGCAGCCTTCGGGTGGTGTGGAATCTGTCCCTCTGGGGTCTTCTTCTAGGGCACTGGAATATGAAACTGGGGTATTAGGTGCCCCTGGGGTCCAGAATCTTGCCAATGAAGAGAAGGGCCCCGGTGTCTGTGTCCCTCAGTACGAAGATGAAAGGCTGGTTGAGGTGATAGTCCAGGGGGAAGGTGAGGTAGGCAGGCTGCGGCCCTGGGCTGGGGGTGGCCCCTGCCCCGTCCTCATTCCACTCGAAGCCAGCCCGGTGTTCCACTTGAGTAAGCTTGATAGGTTTGCCTGTGATCTTGCTAAAGTCTGGTGAATCAAACAGGGATTGCAGCTCTGTAGAGATTGAGAGAGATTTCTGTTAAAACCCTGCCCAGCACCCCAACCGAGGGGTCCAGTTGCAAGCAAGCTGGGATGGCACATCACCGTTGACTTTCTGTGAGGCGTGAAGAGCGCTGAGCTGGCTGAGGGTTAAGTGACTCAGCAAGTCAGGGAGAGATTAGAACACAGGCCGGACAGGCTTGACTGGAGGGGCAGTGTTCTGAGCTCCTGCTGCACAGGCTGAGGAAGGAGTCTGATGAGAGAAGGCAGTTTAGCCTTCCCTTCTGACATTATGAGGATGAAGAAATCATCCATGGCCTCCGTACAAGGCTGCGGAGCCCTTGAGTTCTGCTTACCAAAGTAAAGGCCCCGAAAACCCGACCCCACCCCACCCCATCCCCCCGAGAGCAAAAGGGGCTTGCAGACGTACTCATGTCCTGCAGGGACTTGGTAACTTCGCCTTCGTAACTCAGCTTCAGCTTGGGGACGGTCAGCACCGCTTGGACGGTCTTCAGTTCTCGGTCTATGTCATGAATGAACTCAGAGGTGAGGCTTTCTTCTATCAAGGTCAAATTCTGGGTCGCTTTCATGGGCAGGAAGAAGATGATACTCATGCTTCCGGTCAAGGGCAGCTGGGCAATCTGAGACAAGTGAGAAAGCACGTGGGTTAGTCCTTGAGAGCCAGAGAGTAGGTGGACATGGCCGAGAGCTGCCCTTCCTCTCCCGGGGTGGGGCCCTGCCTCGTCTTCCCACCAGCCCCTCATCTGTTTAGCAACCCCCCTCTAGGTTATGGCTTTCTGGCAGCAAGCCCTCTCCTGACGTTTCTTCAAAGACTGTGCTGTTGTCTTTCCTCACCTAGGCCTGATACCAACTGAGTATCTGCTGAAAGAATGTCCTCCTGTGGTTCTGAGGAGCTAGAGTTGTATTTTCAGGTCTTTATTTTCTCCCAAAGTCCTTCTGCCAACATTTACTGATCACTTGTTAGGGGGAGAGTGCTGTCCGGGGTGGGAATGCAGAGGCGGCAGGGGGAGGGCTCGGAGGCGCCGCCCCAGCCACCAAGAGCAAAAGCGTCCTCTGAACAGAGGCTCTTAACCCAAGGTCCATGGAATGGGTGGTGTCAGGGTCCCAAGAGCCCCCTGAGGTTGTTGACGGATGTGTGTGTGCACAGCTGTTGGTGTGAGATCCGACAGCTGTGTATATTCCGCCTGCTGTGTGACTCTGGGGATCTGACAGCCCTGCCTGAAACTCTCCCGGGTTCCCGCAGTGCTGTCAGATTCCCAGAGATCGTGTCAGCCATGGCCCAAGGAAGGCTAACAGTCACAGATCGAGAGCTAAAAGAAGTCAGGGGCACATGAGAGCCTTAGAATGCCAGCCAGTGGCCCGGCGCGGTGGCTCACGCCCATCATCCCAACACTGGTGGGAAGCCAGGGCATGCAGATCACCAGGTCAGGAGTCCGAGACCAGCCTGGCCAACGTGGTGAAACCTCATCTCTGCTAAAAATACAAAAATTAGCTGGGCGTGGTGGCGCACACCTGCAATCCTAGATACGCAGAAGAATCGCCTGAACCTGGAAGGCGAGGTTGCAGTGAGCTCAGATCGCACCCCTGCACTCCGGCCTGGGAGACAGAAGAGTCTGTCTCAAAAAAAAA